ACTCAATATGTATACCAGTCTGGCCTTGAACTCACAGAGATCTGCCTGCCTCTGTCTTCTGAGTGCTGGGATTAAAGCTGTGTGCCATCATGCCTGGCCTTCTACTTTATTTTTTAAGACAGGATCTTTCACTGAAATTGGAGGTCATTAATTGCATAGGCTGACTGGCCAGTGTGCGCCAATGATTGGCCTGTATCCACCTCTCCAGTCCTGGGATTACACACAGCTAGGGATCTAAACTCAGGTCCTCATGTTAGTATAGCAAGTACTTTACTGACTGGCCTAGCTCCACAGCCCCCAAGAGCCTGTTTTATCCTCTTCCCTTGGCCTATTCATCTCTAGTGTGCTCATTTACTGATTCAAAATCTACATTATCTTTAAAAATATTTATTTTGTGTGCCTGTGTATGTCTGTGTATGGGCTCTCATGTGCTATGACACACATGTGGAGGTCAGAGGATAACTCCCAGGAGTCAGTTCTCTCCTTCTACCATGTCGATCCTGGGGGTTGAACTCAGGTCATCAGGCTTGGTGGCAAGTGCCTTTAACCATTAAACTATCCCACCTGCCATAAAAACCTATATTCTCTTTGACAAAGATTCACTGAACTCTGGTCCTCATTACAAATATTCTCTCTTTCAGCAACTTGCAAGATATCTATTAAAAAAGCCACAGTACTGTACCAAGGAGAGAGAGTCAAGATCCAGGAACAGTTTAAGAATGGAATGAAACATGGTGACAAAGTCTCTTTCTTCTGCAAAAATAAGGAAAAAAAATGCAGCTATACTGAGGAGGCTCAGTGCATAGACGGCACCATTGAAATTCCCAAATGTTTCAAGGGTAAGGCCGTACTGGCATGTTTAAATAGAACTTCTACTTGCCCCTCACTGTAACCAGCATGTCTGTTATGGAATGACTGTAAGTAGCAAATCCATTTGACTACTGGATTTTGTTGTTGTTGTTGTTTTGAGACAGGGTCTTTGCTATGTAGATCAGGCTGACCATGATCTCACAGCAATCTGCCTGCCTCTGCCTCCTGAGTGCTAGGTTTAAAGGTATGTGCCACCACACCTGGCTTTAGTCACTGGATTTTAAAAAATATTTTATTTACTTTGATTTTATATGTATGAGTGTATTGCCTGTAGGTATGTAAGTGCACCCGTGTTGTGCAATGCCCGGAGAGGTCAGAAGAGGGTGTTGGATTCTCAAGAACTAAAGTTAGGGATGGTTGTTAGCTACCATGTGGGTTCTGGGAATCGAACCCAGCTCTTCTGCAAGAGCAACCAGTGCTCTTAACCACTGAGCCATCTCTTCAGCCCCTTAGTCACTGGGTTTTTAAAAAGAGGAGTGACAGGGAAAATAATTAGACAAAGCAGAAAACTGCTTGCAGGGTCTCTACTTACATAACATCTATCACTATCACTAACTGCTTGCAGGGTCTCTACTTACATAACATTTTCCTTTCCAGTCCTCTTCCTTAAATCTCAGGATGGTACTCAACGACTGTTGAGGTGAATCATGCCATCTGTGTAATTCCAAGTTTAGCTTGAAAAATAATACTGAGTCAAATATTGAATAATAAGATTGCTTGCAACCTCTTTGTTCTACATTTTAAAGATTTCACAGTGATGGCGATTAGTTTCTAGATCTAGTTCTTTTTTCTTGCCTTCAGTAATGCATAATTTGAAAAGAATTCTTTAGGGCAAAATATTTTGACTAAGTTGATATTGTGTCTGTGTGCGATTACGAAGTGTGCACGGTCAGCATGCACAGCACACAGAACTAATTGTTAACCTTTTAGGTTTCAGGTTTAGAACTTATGTATCTTTGTTGTAGGAAGGAAAAGCCAGGGAAGGCTAAAGTTATTCTTGGCTCTAGATTTAGAAATGCCCTCAAAATGCTGATTGACAACTTGAAAGACAACAATTGAAAGAAAATATAGCTAAGAAGAGAGGGGTCTCAGAAGTTACCAGCCAGAGAGGGAAGGAAAGAATAACTGATTAAGATAAACCTCATAGGATTGCTTGGATTAATAGAAGTATTTTATTTTGTGTATGTGTATGTATGTGTGAGTGATGTGTGGGGGTGCTGTATACACATGTATGTGAGCAGGTGCGTCTGCCTGTGCACGCATGTGGCGGCTAGAGGAAGATGTCAGATGTCTTGTTCTATCACTCTCGGTCTTCTTTCTTTGAGATAGCATCTATCACTGAATCTGGAGCTAGGCTGTTGGGTAGAAAGCCCCAGCCATCCTTCTGTCTCCACTTCCCACAGCACTAAAGGTAGCTCTTTGAATACGCACACTGACTGGGTCAAGGATGGATGCTCAACTCATAGGGCCTGACAACTCAGGGAAAGGGTGCCAGCTGGTGACGAATTCTTTCCCTGGTGTAGAATCAAGCCAAGTTCAAACAGAGACGCAGAGATGGGAGAGGACGCAGAGATGGGAGAGGACGCAGAGATGGGAGAGGACGCAGAGATGGGAGAGGACGCAGAGATGGGAGAGGACGCAGAGATGGGAGAGGACGCAGAGATGGGAGAGGACGCAGTGATGGGAGAGGACGCAGAGATGGGAGAGGACGCAGAGATGGGAGAGGACGCAGAGATGGGAGAGGACGCAGAGATGGGAGAGGACGCTGAGATGTGTAGAGTAGCAACAGATCCTGAGCTTCAGTTGCCATGTCCAGATTTTTTCTACAGGAGCTGGAATCTGAACTCAGGTTCTCAGGCTTGTGCAGCAAGCACTCTTACCTGGTGAACCATCTCCCCAGGCCTGGTTGGTAGAAATATTATGACATGGAATAAGTGCTCAACCAGTGACATTATCACAATTGCAAATAGAACTGCACTGAATAAATAGCTATTGCTCAAAAGATGGAAGAACCCAGACTGGGGAGACGACTCAGCTGGTAAAGTACCTGTTGCACAAGGCTGAGAGCCTCAGTTTGGACCCCCAGAACCTACACAGAAGCTGGGTTGAATGGTGGGCCTATAACCCCAGTACTGGGGGAAAAAGCAAGGGCAGGGGTTGGAGGGAGCAGTAGGTTCTTCACTGGCTAGTCAGCCAATCAGTGAGACCTGGGTTCATTAAGAGATGCTGTTTCCAAAAATAAGATAGCAAGCACAAGAAAAAAGCACTCAACACTGACCTCTTGCCTTGACACTCAGGTGAACACACATGTGCACACACAAACACACACACACACACAAATTAAAATATAGACGAATCCTATTGAGATATTAAATACCAAAACTGACAAAGTATGATAGGCTTAGTACAACTGAGTAGAAAAACTACTAGAAGAGTCCAATTTTAAAAACCAGAGTTTCATTGATGCCCCCCCCCACCCCAGGTTGTTTTTCTTTCTGGTCTTTAGACAGATGCAGCACTGTTTTGCCTTAGAGAATGAATCAAGGGCAGATATGACTTTTTCCCTATTAATCATGACTGTCAGAGTTATACAAAACCTTTCATTTTCTCTCTCAGAAATGAGTGACTTATCATTGCCCATAGATTTTCTCCCATCACTAAGACCTCGCACTAAACGATTTTATTCCTATAATTAGATTTATTCAACACATTTCTAAAATGTATTTGATTTGGCTTAGCTATTTAACAAATTTTAAGAGCTGATTGCTTCTCTTAGAATGTTTATCTCTTTTTTGTCCTCAACAGAGCACAGTTCTCTCGCTTTCTGGAAGACGGACGCATGGGATGTGAAGGCGTGCTGAAGTCATTTTCGGAGTCAAAATTCAATGCCACATCTGTACCTCTTCTTGTCCAAGGAATCCAATTGAAATGGAAAAATAAAGTTACTGAATCGATGGCCTCAGCCCCTGCAGTGCTTCTCTGGATGGTGGCAGGGTTTTAGTTATGTTAAGAAACCCAAGTACTGGGAACACCATCAGTTCCTGGCTGTAATGGTGGCAAGCAGGAAGAAAGAGCAGGGTAACCTAGTTCCCATCTGCCTAATCCTACTTTAAGGCTTTTTCATTTAAACACCTGCAATACAATATCTTTTACAGGATCCATAGACCCTCAAGTCAGTATTACCTGTCTACTTATTACAAAGAAAAAAATGCTGCATCCCACAATTTCTGAAGATGGCCTTGAAATCTGTACTGATGACATAGTTTCTGGATAATTCTTGTGTTTCGTCAAGTTTGAGAAGCATTGTCATAAAGGGATAAGCATGGACTTCTAGGTCTATAGGACTAGATTGGAATCCTTGATGTTGGGTTTGCATGATGCCAGAAAACCTTCTCTTCCTTACTATGATTCCAACATCTGTCTTTGGCATCGTTCCTCTGAACATGTCACACTCCTTGACCTTCTCTTTTCCTGTTGTATCTGCTGACCAAAATCACCCAAGGCTCTATCTGTCTTTCCTATGCCTGCACCCCAGTACTTGAGTGCTGCCCCTGGAACAATGAAAAAGTCATAACCATGCTGATAAATCCCAGTTAAATTCATGAATGCAACATTACACAGGCCCTAAGCTCTGCCCAGCATCATCTTACCATCTGTCCCTAGTATATCCACACCCCTGCTCACTACAGTCGTTTTTTTTTTTTTTTTTTTTTTTTTTTTTTTTTTTTTTTTTTAATTTTCTTGCACTGGGGCTTAAATCCATGGCCTCATGCATACATGTAAGCATTCCACCCTGAAACCACACCCCCGGTCCCAAAGTGCCTGTTTCTTTTAGGAACCCTTCTTAAGCCCCTTTCCTGATTGCTTCTCACATACCTGGAAAGGAGTCAAACGGACTGGCCATAGGTAGAACTGTGAAGCAGTAACAATACACAATGATATTCGTTGACATTGGTGGGTGGTTATTTGGGGCCTTTCTACTACAAACCCAAGCTCCAGAATTTTTGTGCAATCTCTGAGGGCATGGGCTTTTCTTCCTCACAGTGATCTTTGTCTATGAAGAGCAAAGGAAAAATATTAATCTAGATTTTTTTTTTTGGTCTTTTAGAGACAGCTTCCTGGAACTCACTATGTAGACCAGGCTGGCCTTGAACTCACAGAGATCCACCTGCCTCTGCCTCCTGAGTGCTGGGATTAAAGGCGTGCACCACCACGCCCGGCTTAATCTAGATTTTTTTAAAAAAATAAATAATTTATTGAGTATTTAATACATGCATATAAGGTGTTTTGATCAAATCCATGCCCACTCCCTCCCCTCCAACTCCTCCCATATCTCCCCATCACTTTTTTTCTGATAACTTCATGTACTCTTTCTTCTTCAATTTCTTTTTTTATATGGGGCTTTTGGCTACCCTAACATTCCCCCTTCTGAAGAAGTAACCCTAAAATCTTTTAAGGATTACATAAAGGCTCCCAAATATTTTTGACATTTTTGGCCTTTGGAATGGAGTAGGTTGCTAAGAGGCCCAAGGACACTGTGAGTTTTAGCCAAGAAACTAGCTACATTTCTTTGGGGTGTTTTTACCCTAATTGCCTATCGAATTCCTACTTCCTATTCTTATCACACCATCCTCTGAAGAGGTTAACCAAATTCCCAATAGGGAATAGGGATGTAGACTGCTCTGGCCTCTTCCATGCTGAACAGGGATGCAGGGTGAGGCAATTGGAGTACCCCTTCAGTGGGTCTATCTAAAAGGAGGAAAAGAAAGTCTTTGAATCATGAATAGGAGATGTGAAGGAGAAGTAAAGGCAAGAATAATTAGCATTACAAGTTCTAGACAGGGAACTAGAAAAAAGTCAGAACAAGGCAATTTTCAAATGTTCATATGAGAGTCCATTGGAAATTCTTGACAAGGGCTTCCAAAAGCATCCCTCTATTGGGTTCCTGCTCATTTTTCTTTTGTCTTCTAAGGCTGGACTCTAGAGTGATGGATTCAGGATTTGCTTTCAGGCATTTTGATAGCTGTTGGAGTGGTTAGAATCAGTGTCAATTTCCTCTCAAGGGCTTCCAGATAACTGCGAGGTTGCTGAAGTGTATGTATGACCTGAGGGTATGCACACTGGAAAGCCTTTACCCAGTATGGGTCATGCCTTCTCTTCCTAGCCTTCCCCAGATTGTATACTTTAGCCCTCTCCAAATCCAGGAGGCCACGTGTGATTAGGGTCAAATTACATTCAGTTGGTTCGGAAGAGTGGCTGGATAATGTGGTGAGGTCCAGTGACCCTCTTGGCCCTCCTTTAATAAATGAGCACAACCGTCAACAAGCCCAATTGTGACGATGTTTAGCAATCAGGCTCAGCTGAAATCGTGATGATGGCAGTTATTTCATGCAGAAGGGACTGCAGTATAGCATCATCTTATTAAAGGGACCTGGAATTTAAAAGGATTTGGTGCTACAATCCACATATGGGGGAGAATATACTTCGTTTGTTTTTCTGAGTCTACGATACTTCAATTAGTATAACAGTTTCTAAATCTATTCTTTTCCCTGCAAAT